AGCAGATGGACACCTTCCCGGCACCCGCCTCTGGGCGGCCCCGGAGGACCATCTCATCCCTGCATCCCGACCCTCCCAGTCCTTTCTGCATCGCCAGCCCTCTCCGCCCCCACCCTGCCTCCCAGCCTCTGGCCGGATCCCCACCTGTTCGAGGAGGTCCGGGCCGGTCCCGAACCCCTGCACTCCCCCTTCCCTCCCCCTCGGCCCCACCTTAACTCACACTGATGCGGACCAGTGCGTCCATGATGGAAGTGAAGGTCTGCATGTCCTCGCCCTCGGCCATGGTCCTACCTGGTCCGTCTGCCCCCGGGTGCCCGATCCCGGCAGCGGCTGAGAACCCGGGGCTTAATGCAGGAGCCCGGTGCGGGTGTGGGGAGGGGTGGGGGTAAAATACCACTGCGCATGCTCCAGGGACGAGCCTCAACCAGCGCCAGTCGGGGTGGGAGGTGGGAAATAGTTTTCCCCACGTGGTTCTCAGAAGGCGGTGGTGGGGTAGCATGGGATGGTATTTGAAGAGAGAACCATTTCTTAGGTTCGCATTCTCCATTGGCTCCTAATCATGCTCCTGTCAAGCGGAAGGATCGGTTTAGAGAAAGCTGGGCTCCAGGCTGGCAGGACGAGACTTTGGTTTGGCCGAGAGTCTATGGGAGGTGACGGAAGGCGGTTTGACTTGGGTGGTGGGCACACAGTGCAATGCGCAGATTTTTGTATCGTAGAAATGCACACTCTCGCCCTGGCCGGTGTGGCACAGTGGGTTGAGCGTCCTCCCACGCACCCAAGGGCCCCTGGTTCCATTCCCGGTCAGTGCATGCACCCAGGTTGAAGATTCGATTCTCAGTCGGGTGCATGCGGCAGGCAACCAATCAATGCTTCTCTTTCCCTCTCCCTTCCTCTATCTTTCTTTCTAAAAAAATCAATGAAAACATATTTTTTAAATGAGAAAAAAAAAGAAATGTCCACTTGAAACCCATATGATCATATTAACCAATGTAACCCCAATACATTTTTTAAAAAGAGTCTACAGAGATGTCGAGGGAATGATCATGGAGTAGGGAGGTTGGAGGAACAGGCATTAGAGGTGACATCAATGGCAAAGAAGACAGAGGTGGGCAGGTGATGGCCATAGTCACAGTGACTTAAAGAGTTAAGTGCAGCTGGCGTTAGAGGCAGCAGCTGCCCGGGTGTGGCGGGTGAGGGCGGGGGGCTAGGGCGGTGGCCAGATGCGCTTTGACGCAATATTTCCTCCCCGCCGGGAGAGGGCGCCACGTAAGGCGCTGAGAGGGAGCAAGAGGAGGACTTGGGGAAAGCTAGTTCGCGCTGGGAGCTGACGCATGCGCACAGGCCACAGCGCCCGTTCATCTCCCGTCTTTCTGGGCCAGGGGCGACTGTTGGACCCACCGGAGGGCGTGATGGGTAACTGGGGCGGCGGGATACCCCGGACCAACCAGTTGGGGTCGGTCGGAGTTGGGGTCGACCAGCTTTCCCGGTCCTCTCCCCGCAGAGCTGACGTGTCCTGGGTTCCAGGGGGCGGGCCAGTTTGCACGGGACCGGAGGGTGCCGGGCGTCCGGGGCTGAGACTTTCCTGGGGGTCGTGGTGCAGTGTGGGGAGTCGGGGCGCATGGCTGCCAGCCCGGGGGTGCGTGCAGGTGTCGGGCCCTCGAACCCGGGGACCTGCCTGCCACGTCGGCCTGCGGCTCCTGGAGGGGGGGCCGGGCCCGACTCCCCGTCTCTTCTCTCCTGCTCCGCAGCGGTGGGGACCGGCACGTCGCTGGCGCTGTCCTCCCTCCTGTCGCTGCTGCTCTTCGCCGGGATGCAGATGTACAGCCGCCAGCTGGCCTCCACCGAGTGGCTCACCATCCAGGGGGGCCTGCTCGGCTCCGGCCTGTTCGTC